TTTTTTTCCTTTATTTTACACAATTGCCCTGTGTAAAGTTTTGGATAACTTTATTAATCTTGATGTCAATAAATGATTTTTTACTGTCCAGTCTGAAGCACTGAAAGCAATATCAGATAATTTTTTTTCTTGTATTGAGAATTTAAGTTAAATGAGTATTTTGAAATCTCTGTGCTGCATTAAGTAAATGAAAAAAAAAAATAAATGAAATAAAAACTGTAATTGCTATTTACAACCGGAGGTCTTCCTAAATAACAATAAAACCCTATATTTTATATTAGATGTTCTATTATTGAATTCTTTAAATTTATTTTTTGGTAAATTCTTTTTTTTTTATCTTAAAACTGTTTTAATAGAAAATATTAACAAGATATGATGAGAAGTGCTCGAACTGTATACTAATAAATAAAAAAATAATAAGCAAACATTATTTTTTTAATCTTTATAAATTATATTTTTTAAAATAATTTATTATAACATTAAAATTAGTTTTGAATTGGAAAAACGTGGAAACAGATCCCACGTGCTAAGTATCGTCTGCTAAAAATTCGACGACGCTTATGAGCATGCGCTGGCTTTGACCAGAATGACTATCATCAACAATATTTTCTTTTGTTAAAGATGCTATCAGATTTTAATATTTAAGGTAGTCAATGCAGATCATTTTTAAGCGGAGTATTATATTATATGTAAATTGAATTTTGAGGCTTTTATGTCATATTTATCATTTTCATCTTTATAGTTTTTGTAAACATTTACTGCTGAATTTGTATTAGTGCGTAGTGCGACTATAATGGCGTCAACGGCATGTGAGTAAAGATTAGGTCAACTTTATTTTTTTTTTTTTTTTGCCTAACGCTGTTTTTGATTTTTTTCTAAAACATGTAAGTATTCCATTTTTTTTATTTTCATCTTATTTTAGCAAAATTTATTTTCTTATCCAAATGATATGTCTCAAAATACCAACAATTAGAACACATTTTTTTTTTTTTTTTTACTTAGCTTTTTTTTTTTGTTATTTAATTTATTTAACGAACGCCAACGAAACTTGATTTTTTTTTATTTTTATTTATTTATTATTATATTTTTTGTAAAATTGAAATTGAAAAATGAACTTTTGATATATCGTTACATACCAGTCTAGGTATTTATAACGTTAAGGAAATTTTCGCTTTCAGTCTATTTATTTACTTTTTGCAATCACTTCGCAAAGAGACATTTCAAAACGGTACTCATGTCCGGATCGGGGCCCAGAATTAAATCAAAAATAAATAAATAAAAAAAATATCTGATTAGTTATTGAAAATATAAAATTACGTCTTTTTTTGTGTGCAGTTTAACTTTTTATTAATCTTTTTAGTTTTAAAACTCCCTATTTCAGAGGAAGGGGAGGATTGATTTTTATTTGCATTGTCCTTTTTTGTGTCCCATTTAGGGAGAGAAAGGAGGATGATTTGAACTACTACGGTGACAAAAATATTTCTAAAACAATTTTTTTTATTGTATATTGTAAGTAAAATTGTTTGATTTCAAGAATAACTTACTTAATAAACATTCGTAGATAACAAATGAATGTCCACCTGAACGGCGCTCAACATAAATCTTTTTAAATGGAATGTTACATAGCTGTTAACTTTTATTATTTTATGTCAGGTAGCCTCAGGTGTACATGGTAAATAATGTAAAATATGTAAGATCGTTTGGTTTTTTTTTTTTTTTGGTTTTTTTTCCGTATAAACTTTTATTTTCGGTAGTTTTTTTTTTTTTAAATTATGAAATCTAAGTTTCTCGGCGTGAACGATAAAAGAAGAAAAAACTATTATTTTGTACTTTCATTAGAAAAATTAAAAGTTTCAGCAGAAATATCAAAAACAGCCTTTTTTTTAAACCCAATATCAATTGTAAAAAGCAACGAAAAAGTAATCTGAAATATTAAACTAGTTTTACAATCTTTTAAAAATATTTAATGTTTCAGATTAAATTGTATGTCTATTAAATTTGTACATGCTTTTTTATGCCTTTGCTTTTTGTTACTAATGATTACTCAGAGAAATAAAAATGTTGATTTCCTGATGACTGACTGCTCGTATTTATTTTCTTTTTCACCTTAATTTAAATAATGAAAACTGGTCACATAAAGTTTGACAACTTTCTCTAGAAAAAAAAAAACGTTACTCTGTTACTGTTTGTTTTGTTTTTTTCATTTACCCTCTCCTTTTTACACCAATTTGTAAACAAAACAAAAAATAAAACTATTTTTTTTTTTTTTTTTTTTTACATAAAATTAAACTACACATCAAATGAATACAAATTTAAGAAGAAAAAATACCAATGCTTTATTTTTACTTTAGTGCGAGGAAATTACATAATTTTTAAACCCTGAAAATTTTAAAAAGATTATCAATTTTTTTTATTGCCAAAGTTTTCAGCTGACATCGATATGAAAAATTTGTTCAGATGTTAATTTTAAAAAAGTGTTGATCTTGTTTTTTCAGTTTTATAATTTGTTAAAGAAGAGAAAAATGTTACAAAATTTCTAAGGGGTATTCAAATAAAATTTAATGTGCCTTATTTTAGCACTCGTAAAGGATGATTTCAACATTTAATCATTATTTAGTAGAAATAACAATAGAATAATTTTCATTTTTCAATTTTTAAGTTACTTTTTTAGTTTTTTTCTTTTCTTTTTTTTTTTACTTATCAATGAAGACGACGTTCCTTGCCCTTTTATAAGGTAGTGAAAAATTTCTCATTATTCATTGACAGCTACCAACCAGGTGATCCAAAAAACTTAAACTATTGAGCAAACTTGTAAAAAAAATAATTTTCTTGAATTACGATGTTTGCTCCGAAAGTAATGCCTCTTCTTGTTTGTTTTTTTAAAAAAATTGGCTCATGACTGCAAAGACTGAATTTTCCCGCCAATAACCCATAATTTCTGATATCTAGGTTACAGATAGCTGTCTGGCAAATTGGCGCCTGACATAAAAGTCCATATGATATAACAGGTTATTTAATTTCTCCATGCAAAAAAAAAAAAAATAGCATTTATTGATATTCATCAACTTGTTGAATATCTATGTGAACCCAGGCATTGGGTATTATGTTTTTGCAGTTATGACAGTGATACAAGTCCTGTTCTGAGCTGCCCTGCACATCTGTTAACCCACAAATGGACGGCTCCTGAAAAAAAAATAGGGAAAATATTGTTTTTCATAATTAAAAGTTTGTTCTATCCAAAGGCGTCAGTGTAGTTTCTGTGGAAATAAATAGGAAGCATTACTTTTGAAGTGCCTTTATATAACTGTCCATAGAAAAATATATTTTCAAGGTAAATGGTGAGTGGGGAATACATAAACAAACATAATACATTAAAAAAAATATAATTATGCCCACACTTTGACATAAAATGAAAGTTTTCATCCTCTTACAAGCAATGAAGTGGAATCATTTGTCAACTGTCAGTTTAAAGCTATATTTTCACCTTTTCACTGTTAAAAATCATTTTTTAAAGGTATTTTAGCATTGTTACAGTTCATTTAAACCATTATTAAATTATTTTTTTTAATCAAATGATATTACTATATTATTTATGAAAGATTATTTATTATATAATTTTAAAACTTCAGTCTAGATAAATGCCAAAGAGGACATAATGGATGCAATTGCTGACAGAAATAAAATTTACAGCTTTTAAAAATTCTTTACTGAAATCAAAGAAATTAACAATAAGTTTTCTAAGATAAATTTTAAACTATTTTCTTTTCAATAATAAAAAAAAAATTTTTTAAAGTTAATTTAAAATTATTTCAGTATATTTTCTTTTAAATCTAGAATGGTATGCCTATGATGTGACAAATAGGGATGATGCATCTGAGTCCCTCAATCTCTTAAATAATGATAAAAAAAAATCTAAAAAAATACTTAAAATTAATTTATGTAGTGTCTTTTATTCAAATTAAGATAAATAAAAAAAACTATTAACAAAGACATTTTATATGTAATTGTTATAAATATCTTTTTTTTTTTTTTTAGTATTTAAAAATTGATCAAATCAGAATAAATATAATCTTCATTGAATATTGAAAAATACTTTAGATTTCATAAAAGAGAGAAATAAAATGTAAATCCTATATAACTTTTATTCAACAACTCAATAGATTTCTACTTTTTACCAATACCAATTTGGTGTGTATTTATTAATTCTAACTTGAAATAGGTTGCTTCTTCTTGGACAAAAGCTTGATATATTTCAAATTAATCTATTTTTATCATTTTAGATGTTACACTATTTAAAGAAATACTTAAGTCTTAAGAAAGACTGAAATTTTTACAGATGAAATTATGGTTTAAAATGCCAACAGGTAATAAATGATAAATATTGTATTTTAATTTTTAATAATTCTCAGACAAACTTGTAAGCACTTTTAAGATTTAAATTGAGATGGAGTGCTTTTATTATGACATACATCTTGTAAATAGATTAGTTTTATACTAAACTCACATTTATTGCTTTCTGAGTGTATTTGTTAAAAAGAATCATTAATTTGCTTATATTATGTACAAGTAATTTGGTCATAATGTTAATCGCTGAAATTAAATTCTCTTATTTAAAAAAAAAATAATAATCAGCTACCTTTTGCTGACACAAACTGTTTTCTAATTTTTGGATTAAGTGAACTTATTTCATTCTCATCTTATTCAAGATGACACATGGTTTATATATCATAACTTTGTTTTGAATTGTTTAGTTTTTTTCTGAACAATGGAGTTTGTTGTAGCTGATGTGTTGATTTGGCATTGACAACATGTTCTTAATATAATTAACATTGACAATAATAGATTATAATAATAATAATACTTATTATTATAACTCAGTTGACACTGTACATATATAACAGTAACTTTTTTCTTCTTTTTTATATAAATATTAATGATTTAACTTCCTCTTTTTTTTTCTTCCTCAGATTAGCTAACATTTCTCCTTAGTTTTAATCATCATGGAATATCCCATTGTGCCCAATGGTAATAACTGCAATAGCAACAGCTGTACTGGTAATTCTGGTGGTGGTCTCAATTCAGTTTATAAAGGGTCAGTACATTTATTTATCTTTTTCTTTTAATCTGTTAATCTTAGTTTTATGCACATATATCCATGCATGATTTTTGCAAAAAGCTTATAAGTTTTATAAAAGTTTACAAATAGAGATTTTGATATATTTTATTCAAAAGGATGCTATATTTGTTTACTTTAATACATTTTTAAAAGTTTTGGAATTGGAGTTAAAATTTCCCTTTTATTGTAAACAATTTTTCAGAGGTGTAAATATATTTAAGGTTAATTTTAAGAAATTACTGTAAGTTATGACAGCTTTTATTTTAATACTTGAATATTTTCTTAAAAAAAAAACAGGTTATGTTTTTATTAGAATTGAAGAAATTATTATAATATTGTTTTTTTTTTTTGTTGTTTTTTTTTTTGCTATGATATGGATGTGCAAGAAATGTAATGGATATTAGTGTGGAAAATAGAATTGTCAAGTTGAGTTCAAATTCCAGTCTAGTCTGTTGCATTTAATTTTGCACTTGGTGAATCTCTTCTCAACCAACAGCTATGGGTTAAATAATAGTGTAGACTAGGTTCTCTAGCCTTGGGTGGCAACCAATCTAAGAGAAGGAAAACTCTCTTAATAGTAAGTCTGATTGGTTCAATAATGTCAAATTGGCAGCTGATCTGAAAAATGATCTACAATCTGCATGTTAACTGAGACATGGAATATCTTGTTAATTTAAACACCTCAAAAACGAAACTGTTCTCTAGTAATCGTCTGAGAGACTTCTTTCTGCCTTCCATCAGCATGGCTGATGCTAACCCCATTGTACATTCTTAGACCAATGTTCTCTACTGATATGAAGTGGAAAGATTATATTGAATCAATTGTTAGGAAAGTTGGTGCTAGACAATTTTACTCTACAGAATCTATTTTACATATTTATAAGTCTATCATTCATCCACACTTTGAATATTGCTGCCACATATGGTTTGGTGCTCCTGCTATATATTTAGAGGTCCTTAATAAAACCCAAGGAAGAATCTGTAATGCTAATTGTCTTGACCTGCTATCTTGGCTTCAGTCAGTTTCCCACCACTATGATGTAGCTTCCCGGTGCCTTTTCCTATAAATAATTTCATGGTAATTGTTCTGATGAATTCTCCTCTATGGTCTTCTTGTTATTGAGTTGCTACACCACACCCATCCAGTGATGCACACTGGGCTTTGCCTGGGGTGTTATTGTTTCAAGGTCATTAAGTGTGCATGGATCTTCAAGATGATGTTCCATAGTTTGTGATTGCCCACATTGGCAGTTGGGATCAACATCAGTGATATATCTCCATTTCTGAAGATTGGCACTACAGTGACCAACAGCTGTTCAGGGGCAATTTAGGCAGGACCAGAAGGGCCAGGCATCACTGGAGCCAGTGGGGGAAGGATTCTGAAGGGCTGATAGAGAGCCTGTGTTCCATCAGTTTGGCCGAGTGTAAAAAAGCTGTCTCTGTCATTGGTTTACAGTCATGGAGTGGATGATGAGGGCCAATTTCCTGCTTCACCTTCTTGAATTGGGAGTGGACTTTCCTTATGTAAGGGAGAGCAGTGTCACAAAGCAAGTAGAGGTCATCAACTTTGGTTGGCTTGAGGCACCCAGTGATTAACCTGCAAGAGGTGTTTAAGGCAGGGTTTATTTTCTTTGCATGTGATGATTTGCTCCACACTGGTGAGGCATATTCTGCTGTAGATTATCAAAGGTTTAGAGCATGGGCATCCCATTTGGTGTTAGCCAACTTCTTGATTAGACCTTGGCTTTAGTCTTTGCAATGTGATCCTTGTATGTAAGGACCAGTTCAGAGTGACCACAAGATAGGCAGATTCTCTATGATACCTAGACTTCATGAATTTAAGTGCAGTACTAGATTGGCAACAAGGTGTTATCATTTTACAGTTTAAATGGCAAGATGTAACCATAAGTTCTATGATAACAGTTTCTTCTCTCATACTTCTTGCTTGTGGAACTCTCTTCCAGCTTCTTGCATTCCAGTTGTTTGATCTACAAAGATTTAAATGCAATGTCAGTCATTATCTACTGTCTTCTTGATTCTTGTTCTTTTAGTGTTTTCACTCCTTAATGTGTTTCTTTTTCTTATATTCTTTCACACTCAGTAACCCCTTGTGTCTTAATGACTTTATTGCCTTGTTTGATTAATGGTTAAAAAAAATTCTAAACCATAGAGAAAGCAATGGGAAACCATTCCACTATCTTAATAAGTCATGGCAATTCAGAGAAATTTCAGTTAAGAAAAGAATTGTTTTTTTTTTTTGTTTTTTTTGTTTTTTTTTTCTTTTTAGCATTATGCTAGTAAAAATGCTTCTATTATTATATCTCTTTATCTGTGAGTTTGTGTCATCATTTACTAATCTTCTGAAATAATGGCTTTAGTAATCTTTAATTATATATTTCATTTACTGCTTTTTGCTTATATCCTTTTTTTTTTTTTACTTTGTTTTTTATTTCCTTGTTTGTTGTATATAGGAAATCAGTTAGTCAGAAGTTGATGGAATTGTATCAAGAAGAGCTTCAAAGGCAGCCTGAAGATGAAGTAAGCACTTTATCTCTTTGTTGATAATCAGATATTTTTAAATCGGTAGAATGTATAATTAAAAACAAACACACACACACTAATAACCAGTTTTAAATTTGGCAAATAACCAAATTGTGTGTGTTTGTTTGTTTGTTTTTTTTTATGTATATTTAGAATAGATAAAAAAAGAATGTAAGTAAATTTTTAGTGTAGCATGAAATATCTGTCTTTTGAAATCTATTGAAGTGATTTATAGTTAGGTAGGCAATTACTTTAAGATATGCATCACTTCCACTCACATAAACCAAAAAAAAACACAGATATAACATCCAAGCCCTTAAAAATGAAAGGGTGAATTCAGTTATAGTCCAAATTGATATCAATAAATCTTGATCAAAACAAAGAGGAATCAAATAATGTTATATCTTCATCAGCAGTAACCTGAGAATACATAAAAGGGAAAAGATTGCCTTATGGGACAAAAATCCTGAGAAGAAAAAATTGATACAAGAAAGAAACAAATAGAAGAGGGGAAAATACTACACAATTAACAAAGGAAATAGAAAGAAACTTGTTGACTCTGAGAAATCAACATCTCCATAAAATTGGAAATAAAATTAATGAAGCCAAACAACATAGGCAATGTGTTAAAATGTAGAGAAAAGTGGAAAAAATCACAATAGTATACAATCAAAATCACCACAGAAGAAATGTCCTGGTCTCAAAAACACTTTGAGTCACATTTCAACCCTGACCACACTAAAGATTCCCACAGAAAAAGAACATCTACCAATATACATCCAATCCTTATGGGGGGGGGTGATGAAGAGGGTTTTTTTTTTTCTTTCTTCTTCGATCACCTCAAGGAAATGAATTGCGTGACTCCCTTTCTCAGCTGTTACACTGGACAGTTGTGAAACACACCAACTCAGCCACGCCTACTTTGACTTCCTCTTTGTCTGTCTGTCAATCCATATGTCCAACCCTATTACATGCAGTCTGCCAAATGACTCCCTGACACTTGATGCTGCTGGCACCCCGCTTTTTATGCTATTCAAGATGGCCAAAATTTGCATGTGTGCAAATATCATCTCGTTTTGGACGAGATATGCGTGCATAAATTGTCTTCAATATCGGCCATATTTCTTTTTGTCATTACTTTGCAGGCAAGACATGTTCGCGCTTATTTTGAATTCTGAGGTAAGTCATGTCTTTCAACATACCCCTCCCTGATCTCATGATCACAAAGGTGGCAGTCAGTGACGGTCATTTTCAACGATTGCTTCTTTGCAAAAGCAAGGAGGTTGGTCTCTGCTCTTGCTCCCTCTTCGGGTGGATTGACGCACTCTGCACTTTCCTCATCAGGCAGCAAACTTTCTGCTCCGCTCTCAGATGTGTAATTGGAATCTCCCTTGGACACGCTGAAACTGTGGTGTGGATGCAGATCCTTATCGTGGCGGGGTATTCCGTCCACCAGAAATGACTGCAGGCTCATCATTTTCATCACACAACCTATGTTGAACTTGGTAGTGTACCAACTCATTGGCGCCTTGACCCACACGCGATTTCCGACCTGGTAAGAGCCGTGCCTGGGATCTAACAACATCAACCAATTTCACCCTCAGTTCGTATTGGTGGATCCTGTTGGCAGGCGCAGTCTGGGGTGATGTATTGTCTTTTGGTGTGACATTGTACCAGTAGACGGCTTCCTGGACAGAACAGCGCGCATCTTGGCCATGATTCGTTTTACTGTGCATCGCTCTGCTATCCCATGCCCAGCTGGGACATATGCGCAACAGAAGCGCAAGTTGACTCCCCATTCGTGCACAAAGGCTCTGAATTCCCTGCTGCAGAAGGCTGGGTCGTTGTCCATGAGGAGCTCATGGGGTGGGCACCACTCAAAGAAAACTGCTTTCAGCTGGCAAATCATGGCCACCGAGTCCTGTCTCATCAATTGCTTCCAGATTGAAAAATGCAATGGGCCGCAGTCCGTCAGATGGGCACCATAGTGGGTGAAATCCATTCCCAGTCTCTGCCAGTTCCTGCTTATCTCAAGCTTTCATTTTTCCCAGTGAGTTGGTGCGGGGTCTATAGACTGGCATTCTTCACACATCCGTATAGCTGATCTAATGGCTGCTTTTGTTGTTGACGGGCAGACTCTCCTGGCAAAGTAGGTAGTGCGCCGCACTCCTAGGTGACCACTGTTCCTGTGGAAGGACATGATTTGGTCTGCGTCCATTTCGTCCACATGGATGGCGCCGATCAGTGGCCCGGGTCCATTGCTTTTCTTCATTGCGTCAAACCATCGCTGCGGTACTCTCGTCAGTGCACTTGCACTCTCCCAGTCAGAGTATCCGATACCCAGTGGTACACGCAAATGGAATCTATTTTTACGTGTAGCATCTTGCTCTGCCACTGGAGTGCCAAATTGACACCTTTCAACATGGCATCCAGCTCAGCCAGGTTGATATTTTGAGTATCGTCTTTAGGTCTCAGCCAGCAAGCATCCTCCAGCATAGTTTCGTGGCTCTCTAATGCTACTCTGATCGCCAGGGAACTGGCATCGACACACACGTTCAGCTCCTGGCTATCCATGCACCAATCCCCATGGGCCTGATCATCTCGCTGCACAGAATCCAGAGTTTCAGACACCATGCACTAGATGAGGGTATCCTTCATTTTGTCATCCCAGCCTTCGTAACCGAACTTGCTCTCCTCTTGACCATTCCGCATGCCACACAGAGCCAACCACACACTGCAAGACTTTCACACAGAAAACCTTCCATTGCGTAACAACACCGGGAGGCGCTAGGAACCACACTTCCTCACCTCCACTGCAATTTACCTTCTTCCATCGCGACCACCAATCCTAGTACCCGTGCACCATCCTTGAACCATTCTTGGTCGTTGTGTTCCAGCCCGAACTGGGCCAGATGTTCTTTAATGCAGGTCGCGGAAATGACATCTTCATTGATATAGATGTTGTCGATGTAAGTGGATGAGCTAGCACCATGCTAATGATCGCCTTCATGATGAGTGGAGCCACGTTTAATCCGAATCCTAAATGTGTCAGGCAATATCTTTTTCCGTCAATTTTCACAGTCTGGTATGGCTAGAGTGACTTGTGGACACGTACTTGGAGGTACGCTCTCCTGAGATCCAACAAAGACATGTTGGATCCCTTCTGCCACCATTCATGCATTTTAGCTGCACAGACGTATGCATCGGCTGTGAAAGCATCAACATGATGGTTGAGCTCCTGGAAGTCCATCACTGGACATACTTTAGACTTGTTCTGCTGTAGTACGGCCATCAGGGGAATTAGCCCCTTGGGAGGCCCCAGTTTTTCTTCTGGATATGGTACAAGCCAGCCTTTGCTCATCCACATGCGGAGCTCCTGCTCATAGTCCTCTCTGATCTCTGCTGCTACTGGGTACTCAAAAACCCCATTGTGCTGTCTTTCAGGTGGTCAGTTTTCTGTATGCTGAAAACGCGTCATCTGTAAATACCTCCTTCAACCTGGCTTCAATCTGATCAACATTTCTCTGATCTTTCTCCTCCATTTCTATATAGAGGGCTAGTGCGTCCCCTCCAGATACAATGGCAGCAGGCTAGCCACATCGTTCACCTGCTGAAGTCTTGCCACCAGCCTGACTTTTTTTAGCCACGCCACCATATCACCCTGGCCAGAAAATGGTTTTATAATGTCGCTGCTTATGTGAACCTTTGCCATACCTGCCGAAATAGCTTGGTGGAGAAAAAAAAAAAATAAATGATGAAGAGGGTTTTTTTTTTTTCTTTCTTCTTTGGTCGCCTCAAAGATATGGATTGCTGGACAGTTGTGAAACAGACACCAACTCAGCTGGGCCTACTTTGACTTCCTCTTTGTCCGTCTGTCAATCCGTATGTCCAATTCTATTACACACAGTCCGCCGAATGACTCCCTGACACTTGGTGCTGCTGGCACCCTGCTTTTTATGCTATTCAAGACAGCCAAAATTTGCATGTGTGCAAATATCGTCTCATTTTGGACGAGATAAGCGTGCATAAATTGTGTCTTCAGTAGCGGCCATAATTCTTTTTGTCATTACGTTCATGCTCGTTTTGAATTCTGAGGTAAGTCATGTCTTTTGTCACACCTTACAAAGCCTGTCTCCAAACATAAACAGTAATGAACCTACTGATACAGAAATTAAGAAAGCTATTAAAAAATTAGGAATAATAAAACATCACTTCACATTGATGCTGAACTTTTGAAAATAGCTTACTTTCTCCCTGAATTCACCGTCCCGGGTAAGACGATAAACTACGTCCAGCAGCAAAGGCCTCTGATCAGGAGGTTTTGAGGAGCATGGAACCACCTCTTAATTCTGACCCGGGGTGGTAGCACCTGTTAGGGTCCGAGCTATGGGCAAATAGTTAACCCCAAAACTGGGGCAAAAACTCTATGAAAATGTAAAAATAGGTTTTTAATACCAGAAATACTTTGAAAAAAACATTATTACCAGCAATAAATTTTTGAAGGAAAAAAAAATATTACCAGCAATACATTTTTGAAGGAAAAATATTACCAGAAATAGATTTTTGACAAAACAAAATATTGCCAACAATAAAAAATTTTCAGCATTAAATAACCCATTATGGTTGATATGCTGTAAAACAAAACATAAACCAAACCAAACCCTGAATTCAATTGTAAGTTTCTCTATTTTATGAAAGAAGACTGGAATCAGAAATGCATCCCTCAAAAGTAGAGGTTAATCATGTGCTATGGAAACAGAAAGGTATCCCTCAAGAACCTCACACATACAGAGGTATCTCAATTGGATCCATCATGGTGAAAGTATTAGTGAACATTATCTTAACTAGGCTCTCATTGTTTTATGAAAATCAGCTCCTCATGACCCACTTTGGTTTTCATTCTAAGGGAAGCAATGATAGTATATATATCATCAAGCAACTCCAAGAAATTGCTTATCTCTCTCTAATAGGAAATTGTATACCAGCTATGTTGACCTCATAGCAGCATATGACCACATCAATAGTGACTACTCTTTCTTGTGTATGAGAAACCAGCTTCCAAGATCTGAATCCACTGAATGTATCAATCTAATGGAGGAACTTTATTGGTCCACAAAATCTTACATGTTTTACAAGGACCCCAATATGGAAACATTTCAAATCACATCTGGTGTATAACAAGGAGGAAATGAGAATCCCAGTCTATTTAATCTTTTTCTAAGCTTTACTCGGCAAATTTACAAAGATAAATGCAAAGAGATTGGCACCGATCATTTAAGTATTCCATGCCACATCCCAAACATATCTACTAATCAGAGACATTGATCCTGACTTTCCTTTTGAGGCCAATGTACTGATGAGTAGGGTTATGCTAATAACATAGGTATTCATAGTTGGGAAAAAAATAATCTTGAACAAAAAAAATCAGCATTTTCTACCAAGTATTTCAAGAAATGGGACTCAAGATAAACCTTTCCAAAACGGAAACTATGATCTGGAATTGGAATGAAAGCAATGATGGCACCTACCCTAAATCCGTTATAAAAATTCAGTATGTGGAATTAGTAAATACTAAACAATTCAGATACCTTGGTATATGGATCAGTTATAACAAATTTAATATAAGAGAAAAGGAAATTGAATATAGATTAGGCTGTGTTAGAAGTAGTTTTGTTCAACACTGCAAATTGCTACAAAACCAAAACATTAACCTGAAAACTAAGTCATGTTCTTAAATAGCCTAGTCAAATCGAAACATTCATATAGATGTCATGCATGGCACCAAACCCATACAGAAATATGTAAACTGTCAGCAGTATAAAACCAAATGGGTCATGGTGATGACTATTTTTCTTTGAACTTTGGGAATTGGTGCTACAGAATCACAAAGAAAGAACTGTACAAAATAACAGAAACTACATCACAAGACTAGACTACCAACAGAAGCAATAACTAAAATGGATAGCACATGTAACTGAGAAAATAATGATATGAAGAAGGTTAGGAAGGAAACCCCCATCAATACTGGAAAGAGCAATAACAGCTACTGGACTGGAAGCCTATTTTCCTGAAAAATGTTTGACTAGAAAGATTTTAGAAATTTCAACCGACATCAGAACTGGCTGCTTGGTCAATGAATACCAAATGTTTCCTTGTAGTGAAACAGCTAATATTATCATTACTATTGCTACTGATAAGAAAAAGTGGCACAACAGAAACCTATTTTATTGTTTAAAAACTCTATTATCAAATTTTCACATAAAAAATTGATTATTTATTTATCAGAATTAAATGATAATTACATCCTAGAATTTTTTTCTGTGAATAGAATTTTCTGCCTGTGTATGTCAATATTTTAACATCTTGACATTTGAATTACATATAAAACCAGGAAAGATAAAAAAAAAAAATTTTTTTTTTTTTTTCCTTTTCTTTGCCTGGCATGATCAGATAAAATACAAGAGCAAGTTTTATGATAATCTGTTTTAATTTCACAAGGTTAAATAATTTTACTAGCTCATATTGATAAAAACAGCACAGTCTAAATTGCTCAAATATAGTAATTGGTTTGTTTCATTGTTATTGTTTATTGGTGTGTTCTACTTACAGCCCCTTTGTTATGCAACTCACTTACTTGCAAAACTGGTGAAGAGAGACCGGCTTAATTGCTTGGTGCTGAATCTCTACCCTGCCAATGAGGGTTATTCCCTCATGTTGAAAGGGCGAAATGGAATGGAATCGGAAACGATAAAACTTCCTTATGAGGTAAGCACTGAGAAAAATTGCTTTGATGTTCTGCATTTGCTGATATAAAAGAAAACATTTTTCCCAGAAAATAAAAAATGACTAAAAAGAAAAAAAAATATCTTCTATACATATTTGAAGTCTCCTGTAGGCTAATATTATCACTAATTGTTGGTTATAACTTTATTTACTCAAATGACATTATTATTATTACCAGTTGTTCCATTATATCTAAACATATCTCCACGCTCTTATCATTAATCATCTGAAAATCACTGAAGAATGAAACATAACTGATAGGAAATGCTGGTAATAGTAAAATATTAACAAAGGATACATGAGATTAAGGCCACAGAAAAATGTGTCCATCGTTCGAAGCAGCTAAAAAGAATGACTAGGGAAGGGTGTCTGTGTTTACATGGTGAAATTCTGACTTTATCTCTCAGCTGTCTTGCTTTTTTATACACTGTAATATTTTCTATTATAGCTAAAAAGGTTTTTTTACCATGTTTTCTAATGTACTGATAGCTTGCTTTAAAGATTAAATACACTCAAAATATTTTTCCTGAATATACCCTGCTGAAATGGGGATATGTCTAATATGCCCATATGTCTTTTTGCTATCAAATATGGTAATTTTCAATTTTATTATTTAACTGCTTGAATTTTGATCTCTTCTACTAAAATCATGTCTAAATTAAATTAAATTTTTATACGAAGTTTACAAAATTAGCACAAACACAAAAGTGTATATAATATTTAATAAAAAAACAAAAACTGGTAAAAATTGTCAACACAAATGCCCTTCAGTATGAATATTTGTCTATTATTTGCATTGAAGTCAGTCTCTTCATCATTTAACAAATTCACTTAGTTCTTCAATTGCTCATTATCAACATATCAATATTTTTCTAAAATCTTGTATGCACTTGTTTGCTTTCAATTCAACTTAGTAACCAGAAAACTAATTAAAAAATGTTTAAAAAAAAGGGAGAAAGAGAGAACTATTGTAAAATGTGTGGAGAAATCTGTTATATGCAGAAATATATTTAAATTTAATTTTATATATTTATAACTTGAAAACACAAATAAAAATATACAAACAATAAGATACAATCATATATACATTTTGCTTTGAGAATAAAATTTGAATATATTTGTTTTTTTTTTTTTTGTTTTTTTTTTTTTTAAATTTAAATCAGTAAGATGGTAGTATTCAATATAATTTTTGTTTCCAGGAAAGTGAATTACTGGAATATATTGATGCCTCAGAAGTAAGTAATCTTTCTTGCATCTAAATAAATTTTGCATATTTAATCTTGATCTTAAGAAAACATGTTTGAAAATGGTTTTGCATTTGTCATTTAATTACAAATGTTTTAATTATGTACATATATCTGTTTTTCTATTGCATCATTGCTATTTTCCTGTCTCTTTTTTTGGTACCCCTTTTTTTTTTTTTTTTCTTCTCTTTTTAAAATGTACTCTTATTTTGATTTTATAGTTGCCTCCAATACTGGTTGATATTCTGGAAAAAGCTCAAGTAAGTACTTGTAAAACTCATTTTGATACTGATAAGAAATCAGATGTGTATTGTGTTTGGAATGATTATGTGAACAAAGACTTTGCTGTCTTCTTTTTTCTCTCTTTCTCTTGCATGCATTTTTCTTCTATGTACTGTGTACCTTCGGGACATAGGTGATCATGGCTCTCCACGATTTCCTATCGCTTCTGGCCTTTAGCCGTTTTTCTCCCTTTGCTATGGTTCCCTCCCCTTGTTCCTCCATCCACTCACACAAGATCATCAGGTAAATAACTCACTGCCTTTGCCTATCTCTATTGCCCACAATATGCCCTGTGAGGGCTAAATTTCCCAAGTCCTCCTTCCTCATTGTGTCCAAGGAATTTCAGCTGTCTTTTCTTGATTCTGAGTATAAATGTTCTTTCTGTTGCCATTTTCTTTAATATGTCCAGCATTCACTACCATATCAAAGGATGGATATCACATAGCAATCCAACACTCTTTTCTTTGTTTTTAACAAAATGATTTCATTTCTCAACACTTTGTTTAGCTTTTGGAATGCTTCTTTCGCTATTCCAATCCATGTTCAGAACACAATGTCATATTTTTCATCCTCTGTTAAAATGCTTCCCAGTTATTTAACCTTTTGCATCTGCTTGAGATTGACATCTCTAATTTGTAAATGTTGGACATCTTGGCCTTTTCTCTTGCTGATGACCAGACTTTCTGTCTTCTTGAAGTTTATGGTGAGTCCTTTTTCTTCTACTAACCTGTCTCGGAAGACCTGTAGTTTTCTTTCCAAGTCAACCATCAACACCGTGTTATCTGCATATCTTCTATTCTTAATATTACACCCACCAATAATAAATCCTAATATGTTCTCCAGTTCCCTTAGGATAGCATTGTTCTAAAGGTTGAATAAATCTGGAGAGAGGACACAGCTTTGTCTCACGCCCCTTTCTATATTTTCTGTATATACTCAATTCATTTTCTGTTCATTTGCGGGTGATTTGCTCACAGTATAAGTTCTGGATTATTTTAACATTTTTTTCCAAATGGATCAAGTTTTCCTAGCAGTTCAAATAAATCCTTGTGTCTTACATTGTCAGATGTTTTTGAGTAATCTATAAAACATAAGTACACATCTGCATTTGTATTACCATCTCTGATATCATTCTGATCAGGAATATTGCATTTCTTGTTCCAGTGTCCCTGACAATGCCACCCTGTTGTTGTTCTATTTTCAATGTAATTCTGCTTTGTTCTCTCTTCACCGGAATTTGCATTAAAATGATTGCCTGATGGAGCTCACATTCATTTGCTCCTGGTACTTTGTTCATAAATATCAACAAAATATGAACATTTTTTTTTAGTGTTTATAAATAACAGATGACATTTGGAAATCTGAAAGTAAAGGAATATTTTGATAATTATGATCAAAACTTTCAAAACGGTGCTTTTGTATGTATTTATAGATACAAACATATTACTGAGTAGAAGTATTGATGAAAATTCCCCTATATTCTTTCCTGCTGTAAGAGTGATTGAACTATTTTATACTTATCAATTCTAACACTTAAACCATTACAAGATTTTTAAAAAAAAATCATGTTAAGGTTCATCTCCTTTAATCAGTCAATGTGAATGTTCTATTGATATTGAAATGTCATGCTAAGTTTTCATATCTTGTTTCATATGGTTGACTTTTTAATGTTTACTAAAGCATTGGAAAGTCTTAAAAGCTTTATTGTAAAAGTGGAAGTTCTTTTTGCAATAACATTTCACTATTGACTCACCTGAAAACTATTAAGATGTTTCTTGTCTAGTAGAAGATGTATGTATCGACAAACACTTAAATGATACTAATTATCTTGTAGGTGAATGTCTTCCACAGCGGTTGTGTCATAGTGGAAGTAAGAGATTATCGACGCTCCAGCAATGGGACCTACGACAGTGAATATATTATGTTGAAACCCACTATGCAAGTAAGTTCCTTTCATTTATGCTTTTTACTGTATTGTTATGTAATGGATGTATTATTTGCAGTCCTCTCATGGTTTTGATAATTTACTTACAAAATATCAGAATTTACATGAAATGATATAGTCAGAAGACATCCAATATTGTATCAATTTTAGGTTTGTAATCAGTAGGATTATTAAATTCTGTTTTCATATTTTTTCATGTCTCTCTTGTTCAGTATTTGTAGACCACTATTCTTGTAATGTTTAACTTTTGCTGCTATTTTTCTTTCCTGATAAATGAGTCAATATAACCCTGTCAGTTTGTCAAAAAGAGATTTAAATTTGTCAGTTGGAATAATTCAAGATTTATTTTTTATTATTAGCTCCATTAAACTTTACAATTTTACTGTATTTTTACTTTGTGTTCTGAAAAGTTCATTAATATAACAATAAGAGGTCATAAATACAATTTTAGAATGATTTCACTAATAAAAAGAGTACTTTAAATTAATGTAAATATTCTTCCTGTATGAAAATTTTCTATTTGTCAAGATTCCATCAGAAGTTCATCTAAGTAGCTATTTAATATTAAATATGCATTAAAACCCTTTTTCTACAGCTCAAACAAATCTGAATTTTTCCTTGTTGACCTTACTACATTCAAATATTGTTATTCATGTTAACATTTGTTTTCATGCAAAATAATTCGTCCCCTTATAAATATCACTTGATTAAACATGTAATATATTTTTATATTTTCTCATGTAGAATTGCCAAACGTTTTAGATAGACTTTACAACCAAATATACTATTACTCTAGCATCAGTAAGATGTAATTAGTAAAAATTATAATCATTTAGCCAACATTTAGACAGAATACTTAACACATAAACTTATTTTTAAATAATGTCTGTCAGTCAATCTGCTATTGTCATATTAGCTCTTGAGGATCTCTTGATTATTTAAAATGTGCTAAATAAGATTTAAAAGATGAAACTTCATTGTAAACATGACTTATTGGATGGTATATAGTATATTCTTTTCTTTTCTTTTTTTCTTCTTCAGTCTTTGTTATGTGATATAAATAGTTTGACAAATGATGGACATCGATGGACACAAGAAGATGTCTTCCAACTGGAGAGCCAGCTACTTCTGGCCACTCAAGATCCACTTTGCCTTGACCCAAACCCTGCCATATTCTTTGCTATGAATCATCAGCAATATGAAAATAAGAAGTTCAATGATCCAGCACTTCGGCAGTAAGTATAAACCATAGTACAGCTCAAGATATACTTAAATCAAGAGAGAATTAAATATGATTCGGTTAAACTGATAAGAAATGTTAATCAACTTAAAAGAAATTTCTGCTTAGGTCACAACTTTATATCGAGAATTATTTTTTTTCTCTTCCTCAGGTCGGTTAAGAAATACTCACAAGCTGCTGTGAATAGAAAACGGAAATTTGCTAAAGCACCTGCCCCTAAGGAATTGCGGCTTTTGGATTTTATTAGCCGGAAAAGGCTTCGTAAAGGAGCTGGTGCTATTAAACCAGTATGTATATACAACTTTTTTTGTGAATTTACATAGCAAATTAAAAAATGAAAGCAGTTTTCTTACATGCCATTAATTTTAATTTGTCTATTTATTTAGATTTATTTATTTATTTATTTTTTTAAATTTTTTTTTTTTTTTTTTTTTTTTTTAGATTCCAGATTCTCGGAATTACAAACCTCCAAACTTGTCTCCACCACAAAACATTGATGTAAGTATTGATTTCTAATTGTTTCATCTTAATCTTAACTATGATTGATTCTATCTATGAGAATAAATAAGAACACATGATTTCCATTTATTAATCCCTTATTAACACCTTGAAGCCCAGTCCTAATGTGTATTAGAACTTCTTATTTAATCCACGTACACGGTTTTGATATTTTACACTTCCAGGTAGACAAGTATGCCTCTGAAAAACCAATGGAGAAAAAAACTGCAGACAATAATCTTGTAAGTTGATTTTCTTTAAACTTTGGCATGCATTTTTGTTTCTTTTTTCTCTTTTATCCTAATTTTCTCATGCTCTCAGAAATGATGGCCTATTTTGTTAAGTTCTTACTATTATTACAAGAATTTTACATCTGAGTCTTTAAATATATTACAACTAGTACTATGTTGCTTTTCTGTGTAGTTGTCACTGAGATTGTTGTACATGCCCTGTTTGTATGGGAGTCATAAATACCTTCCTCAAGCAACATGGCATCAAGTGACTTGAGCTGCTCTTGTACTGCTGCCTGGTCTTCACTTTTCTGTCTCAATATAATTCAAAAGTGTTGACATGGCCTAATGGAGGATGAGTTATTTTTCACCCTATGATCCTTTTCCCACAGACGAAATGTTGCAAGCTTCATACTACTCTATTGTTATTTCCATGGAAAGTGTTCAAACTATATTCCTTAGTTTCACCAGTTCTAACCTTCAGAGTTAAAACCTGCCATGCCGCACATCTTATAGCAAACTACCCTCATTCCCTTTGTATTCTACTGGCATGGTGTAAGTTCCACTTGAATATTTCTTCCTAAAATCTTTTACTTGACTTCTAAGAGAATGCTTCTCTGATCACTACAGTCTTAACCTGTTCAAGTCTAGAGTTAACCATTAACTTCCCAACATCATCTAAAACGTATGCCCCTTCCCTCTTTCTCTGTAACACTTTACCTTGAGTGGCTCTTGGATCTTGTACAGGGCAAACATATTTAAAAAAAAAACTGTGTCATCTCTGTAGATCTGCTTCCCAGGGGTTGTTTGAGGACCCCAAACAGATGTTAATTAGAAGAAGCCAAGTCAGAATAATGTATTAAAACATCTCAGTCATATTGCTGGAGCAATTCTTTTGTCAGTTTGGCCTTGTGTGTGATGGCATTTTTAGTAAAGATGGATGGAAACAAACTCCAGAGTAATCTCATGAAATTTGGTCTCATATCCATGTTGCTCCAGAATGTCACCATTAGCTCTCCTCCCTTCTTTTTTGTACTGCGTCCCTTCAAGATATGGTTTATCGTGGTTCTTCACATTTTCCTATTCTTTATTTTTCTAAGTAATATTTGTCCATTTACTATGCCTCCTCATCCCTGTTCTTGCTATCCTTTCACGCAAGGTCATAAATTCTCCAAACCCTCTTCATGCATCCCCCAAATTTCAACTTCTCTTTCTAACTACAAGTGTCTTTATTATTCCCATCTTTATTAAAGCTTTCTCATTGTTCACATGCTCTGTTCCTGGTATTCTCAGCATCCTTCTGCAGAACCACATTTCTGTTGCTTCAAGTTTCATCATCTGTGAGGGAATTGTTCAGCATTCTCTGACATATAAGAGGAGTGATATTGCATAGATTTCAGCACGCTTTATTTTTAACAAAGTTCCCCTGTCACTTAATTTTTGCTTTTGGAAGGCATCTTTCTTTTGTTTTGCACATAAAATATGTTTTTAAGACATTTTGTCATTACTAGAGGTAATGATAATAATTTTAAAAAGTGCCTTTGTGTGTGTATATATATAAAGGAAACAACTCTCATTAAATAAAACATTTTTTACCATACTTTCCTCAATTGTGAAAAATAATATATTTTAAAATGTCCTTAAAATTTAATAATGTCTTAGTACTTAGATACTGTCAAGTTATGGACTAATTTTTTTTAAACCACTTTAAAATGTATATCCCTTACAATTACAAACTATTTTACACATCTTTTACTTGTATTCATTAGCACATACATTTTTAATTAAAATTGTTTCTAGAAAGCTCTATGTTGAAATTAATCAGAACTTTTCTATTTCACAAAGTGATATTAACATTCTTGATCATGACTAGAAATGATAGAAAGTACTAGAACCAAAACATTCTGAACTTGAACTATTTCTTCATAAATTTTATCCACATGTATTGCGACTCATATGCCAACCAGAAAAACATTGAATAGATGTTGGTCAGATTCATCAAAACCTGTTGAATGAATTCTTTCTGCTTAATAATAATATATAAAATAACCATACTTTTGTGGCTTATAAAATTATATACTATGGAAATTGTTCAATTTTATTTGAAGTACTCTTTTTTTATTGCTGGAAATCAACAAAAATTCCAGATTATCAAAAAAGGTGCTTACAAACTACTAAATTATTCAATGGTCAGCATGTCTTTTCATTATTTTGTGTTAATATTCAAAGCAAAGGAACTCTTGTTCTTTAATATCAGCTCTTTACTGAAATAATGATTGTATGTTTTTCCTTTTCAGTCATTGGTTGAGGAACATATTCTTGAAGTAGAACTAGCAGAAGGACAAAAAGAAGTTACACGTATTGCTTTTTTGCAAAGGTTGTCAGATGAGATTTATTTTGGAGAACAATCAGATGGAAACATGAAAGGGGAAAAGTGCAGGTCTGTTTACTATATGCAACATGTCTGATATTTATTATACACTTCTATATGAAATAGATGATTTTAATTAAGTCTTTTTTGTGAAAGAACCATAAATCATATTTCTAAACATTTCATTTATTGTTTCCTAGGTTTCAATTGGGTACAAGAGAAAATGTTGATAAGTAAGTACATTACTATATTGTTAAATTACTACTGAATTCTTTATATATTCTCAATTGGCATTATCTTCGTTAAAATGTATGCCAGGATCAATAGCATTTTTAATAAACTTTTAATATAGCAGATATAGATAGATGTGAATCAAAATTGTTAATATCCTATCAGATATTATTATAACACAAAAAGTAAGTTTGGTACTCATTTTCATTATTGAGTTTCATTTGCTTTTAGTAGTAATAGACATACTTTTCAGATTTCTATATGGATGATTAAGTATTTCCTTATGTTACAAAAATGTTTAAGTTGTTAGTATGTAGTGCTGCGGAAAATCCTCTTTATCAATGTTTCTCAAAGTGAGTTTGGTTTTAAGAAGGGAAAAAAAAAAGAAAAAATAGTATTCACCATCCATTTTCAAAAATAAGTTAGCAGATTATAGGAAGAAGATGCATCTCAAATTTTAATCAAGGTACTCCAATTTGCACCTAACACCAATTGCCATATAGTAATTCAGCTTGTTGAAATGTAAACAAGTTCCACACAATTTTTTTAGCAAAATCTTTTAAAATAAAGTAAATAAAAAGGTAGTTATAATTTAATTAAAATTTTATTCAATTTAAATCAAAACAAAAATCACTATTAAAACATTAAAAACAATGTGATAAAATTAAAAAACTAATCTTTTCACAAATGAAAATATACTTTTTCTTTTGTTTACAAACCATATGACATCATTTAAATTAGTTCTTCTCAAAGTTGTCAAACTTCTGAAAGTAAGGTTTCTATGTATTGAAAGCACAACTTGTGAAGGCTAGATGGTTCCTATTTTTTATTGAATATTTGACAAAAAAATAAAGATGTTTAGTTTGCTTTGATTAAATTAAATAAAATCTTAGATTATGACTACTTTTTTATTACTATTTCTAATTAAAAAAGAAAAATAACTTATTTTTTTATCATATCATCATAGCCATTTTTTTTTCTTTTTTGTTGAGGCATGGCCGAGATAAATCTTGCACAAAGTCAAATGGGTGCTGCCTGACAGTATCTCGGTTTACTTCTCCGCATACGCCTGTCACAAGCATCAGCTTGTTCTAGGCCCAGTTTTTACCTATCCTTTCAAAAATCATCCTCACAAGTCTTTCTTGCACTGTCCTCTTTACATTGAATTTATTAACTTTTCAGTAAGAATGCTGAGTTATCACATTACAAAAGATAATGATTATCATTTGACTTTAATAATGTTGGAGGTGAAGTTTCATATGGCTTTTTTTACTTTGTATTTGTCAAACTGCTAGTCCATCAATGTCTTACATTTGTTTTTTATGGGAATAAATTTCCTCTAAAACAATTGTTGTCTTACAAAAATTATGCCGGTGATGGTTGGGATTCTACAACTTTTGAAAATTTATAAAAGGTTTTTGTGACAAATGTTTGGGAACTCCAGCCCTATATTATCTGCTATGGTCTGACCAATCTCCACCCAAACTTCAGCAAATGGTGAACATTTTGATCCTTTTTTTAGTCATTATTTTGTATAACTTGTTCTCTCGACTTTCAAATAATTTTCTGTCAACTTCCATATTTTGCAGTATCCATTTCATTCTTATATTTACTCTTATACAATTTCTTAATATCTTTTTATACTAGTAATTTTTACAGAAAAAAATCTTTCAAAATTTTCAAATATTTTTTGATGGTTTTCTCAATAGCTTACTCATGTTGATATTTGTTATGTCAGTTGTAGAGAAACTTTAATTTTGTCAGATTAATTAAAAGTTGTAAATTCTTATATTGATTTTTCAGCTTGGTTTCTATTCCTGATAACACTGTTTTGTTGCATTCTTAATTGTATTTGATAGATTTGTAGATCTTCTATTTCGGATTTGAGAGTAAAATCAAGATGCTAGTCTTATTATTATTGCTTTCATTGATAGGTCCAAAATATTCCAATACATGTAATTTTGATGTACATTTTTTCCCCCTAGGTATTTTGAACAATTTAAAATGCTGTTCGTTAAAAATTATTCAACCGCTATCCAAAATGTTGTGGTCAGCACCAATCGTCCAAATGCATCTCCTCAGGTCAGTTTCATTAATCCAGCAACATGCAGCAGTCCACTTAGCACCATGTCTATGCCCATGAATCAGGTAGGATAACAATCTTTTTTTTTTTTTTTTTTTTTTTTAACTGTCTTGGTTTTTTTGTCAATTACCAGCACTAAGGATCATGATCAAATCTTATCATTGAATAAAAGTTATTTAGATTTATTTAATGTAAACAGCAAATTAGTCATATGCAAATGATAGATATCACCCGTTGAAAAAAACCTTGTTTTGGGCCTATTCCAAATTGACTCTATTGGCAAGCAACATTAGTTGGGCAAGAATCTGTATGTGATAGATTTGGGGCAATTGTTCATCAGAAAATTAACATGATATAAAACATTGATACATTGACTTAAAACTTTTTTCTTTTCAGGAGACAAATAATCAAGGAATAGTTACTCGAAAAGGATCATCCCAGCATCTATCTGTTTCTGTGGGATCATCTGGAAATTCTGCTCAACAGAACACTGTCAGTCCAAGCACACCTGCCATCAGTAGGTTATCAGTCTTTGATTAAGTGCAATGAATTGAATAAAACATTTTTATATTACCAATTGTTAGTAAAACTAAAAATAAGGCATTAAAATCTATATCTGTTAATTATAAATATTTTAACCTTTTGACACTAGCTGTAAGTAAATAGTAGAAGATAGGTTCACCTATCGCCCGGTTCACACTCCTATCTTGTCTTGAACAGGAGTAGTGATTTATCCCATGTTTCATATTTGGGATTGGTTTTCCAGCTCCTTCTAAATCCTTTTCTTTCTCTTTCACTCCCAGTAGTTTCTTGTGTCTTAGTGGCATTATCGCTTGCTTGGGGTGAATTGCTTAAAACAAAAAAAAGTATGTTGCATAATTACTTGAAATAAATCTATAAGAAGATAAGAAATATACATTCATTATGTAATTTACATCCATATTATCTGATTATTTAGAATGAAATGTTATAGAAATCCATATTTTTATTAGATTTCATATCATATTGCATATTTTTGTACATTTAATGGCTTTAGTTGAGCGAAGTTTCAATATAGGTCAAAAATGTCAGTCATTATTTATGCTAGCCGAATTTATAGTAAGTTTTAGTTTGTAGAATTTATTAATTTAATTACTTGTACAGCAAAGAATTGTAATCGGCCTCTTCAACTCTAGAAAATAGGGGTTATAGGCTTTTATTAGCTTATAGGCTCAGATGGAGAATGTTTGCAAAAGATTAATTTTTATATTGTCTACAATACATTTTTTTGGTAAGTGGTGTCTATTTGTGTTGCTAAAATCAGATTTAGTTATCATACACACTTTTATAAGCAGCTGACAAATCTGATTGTTCTCTGGAGTCAAGTGAGGGAATATTTTATTTAGAGAAAGTAAAAAAAAATTTGCATGATTTTGATGCACATAATGTTAACTTTTGATTTAAAAAAAAAAAATCAATACATGTATAGTGTTATTGACTTTCAAAACCTGGTTTTAACTATTTTTCTCAGAATGTTGTGTATCTAAACTGAAGTCCTGTAGTATTGCAGTGTGTAATAAGATTATGAGACTCTCATTATTTTTTTTTGTAACTATTCTCTTTATTGCAGGTCCTGGTGTTGGAAACACAACTGCCTCATCTCAGCAGTCTACAAACTCTCAGTCCCAGTCTCACAGTGGACAGTCCCAAAAAGGACGACAGCATGCAATGTGAATACTTTTTTTTTTTTTTTTTTTTTTTTTTTTATATACATTTTTGCATTTACTCCTCTGTTACAAAGAAAGAACCTGACTTGATAAAGTACCAAATTTGTAACTTGTTCTTGTTCAAAATCAAAAGATTCTTTTCTGTTTCTTTGAACACCAATTTGCAAAAAGTGACTAAGTGATATTTATAAAAAAGAAATGATTTTTGAATTATGTGGAAAATGTGACTTCTGTTGGGTTCTTTGTAGGCATAAGTGATTGATAGTTTGGGAATAAAATCCTTATATTTTAATATCGACTTCTATTATTGATTCACTGTAATTTCTGTGTGGAAGTCTTAAATATTATTTTTACACAGATTATTAATAGATGTATTGAAGATTTCTAAAACTTATAAAAATATTTGTGAAAAACCCAAACTAACTTATTTGGCTAATGAGCAACAGATTGATCCTGCAAATTTTTGTATTGAAGATGCATCTTTTTTTTTTTTTTTTGTCTTTTCTTAATCCACTGATTTTAAGGATTTATGGTCATATTTTTAAAAATTAAAATCTTAATATATGTATATGTAATTAGACATTAATCCTTTGATTAAAAGCTGCAGACAATTTTTTTTTTTCTTAGCTTTATTTACTTAATTTTTTTTCTGTTTCTGTATGAATGAATGTAGTTTAGTGTATGTGAGAATTGTCCAAAATGTTTTGATCAAGTGCTTTTGACTATTTGTTGAGCCATTATCAAGATCCAAGACTTTAATGGTTGGGAACAAAGACCGATCATAGATATTAGTTGTTTTTTTTTTTTTTTTTTTTTTTAATTCAGTTTTTGAATTTTGGCATTGTGGTATTTGTACATTATGGTGACGTAGCACACAAGGCAGCACACAAGCAAAATTCTTCTCTCAACAGACTATCATTCTACGCAAAGAAATTCTTTGAGCAAAATGTATTGAATATTAAATACATTCAAAATCCCAATACCTTGATTGAAGAATATCTTATTCAATTTTGGGTTCTTTATTTTAATAAGGGCTTCAAGAATCTGAAACCTTTTTCTGCAGTTAATATGGTATAGTATATGCGTATTATCAACAAGTACTTGGCGTATACTAGTGGGAGAAGCACCAGTATCTAGCAGTCTATGTTTATCAATATGAGCATGGATCACATGTTGACTGGACAAGCAGCAAGTTAGTCTACAGGATAAGATGGATGTTGTATGGCCAACGTACAAATTGTGATGCATCTGATTACAATAAAATAGGTTTGTGTTTTTGTTATTTTTGTTGTCACTACTATTTATGTTGTTATTCCTCATTTTCTTCAAAGTTAGTTTTATTTGTTAATCAAGAACATTTTTAGAGAAGCCATTCTTTATAAGTGTTTGTTTAATGTTGATTTCTTTCTAAAATGTATGAATGGAAAGAGGAAATAAGTGGGCACTATTAAATATTTTTATTTTATAACTACTTTCTTTATATCTCTACAAATGTTTACTATTACAATTTAAGACAAGTTGAAGACATTGTAGGATTTTTGTACAAGATCATAAAAATGTGGCTATTTAAGTTAAATGGAAGATCAGATAATTTTAAATGTAGCCTTTGTTTTTTTTATTTTGTCAAGGTTATCAGGATATTAATATATCTAATGTAAATTATAGGTTTAACCAAGTTTTGAAGATTGTATTTTATAGTTATAATTTGCAAATTGTAATGTCATCTGAAATGTTGCCATTGTGTTCATAAGAACTTTAGTAGTACAAACAAAAAAATTTGCAGAGAATAGTTAATTTGATTTTTGGACGTAGGAGAGAAAATGCATTATAGTGTTTATTGTATCATTCACAAATATTGGTGAACAAGTTTTCAGTATCTAACAAAGCTAAGATACCATGAATTGGTTTAACAGAGTATATCGAGAAATTCTTGTGTGGACTTTATACTAAATTTTGTTGGTAAATACCACAATGATATGACAGTGTTTTTTGATAATTGGTGTATGTATATGATATTTTTTCAAGAATGAAATTAATTTTAAGCTCTTTGAAACTGCTGTGATAATTTTAATATAGGCCACTTAGTAATTAATTGTGTCAGGATGTTGTCAATATTTACAAAATAATTGTCAGTATATTTTCTGATTTTGTAATTAAATATTATCAGTGATAGAGATTTTTATTGTATCCTCTCATCAAACAAGTAATAGTATAAGACATTTATTTAGATTATGTTCTTATCTTTACAGTTTGGAGTGCATATTTTAGTTATATGGAACCTTGTCCATTCTTTTCTGAATATCTGTTAAATGTTATTTTAATCAGTTTGTTCTTGGGTTTCTATTAACAAATAAGACTTATTAATGTCCATAAAATATTGTAATTATATTTCAGGAGAAATCCTAGGATTACTGCAAATTTGGAAGTTAAAACCTTTGCAAAGAATTTTTACTTTGTACTATTTTAATATCTATACTTCTTGTTTTCTATTATGACTTATGACATAGATTTAATTATTTCAATTTGCAAGGAATCTGACAATCTGTTGAATGGGAGCTGAGATTCTAACAAGAGAGAAAGACTAAATCTTTTTAAAAACTTCATGCTCTCCAAAATTATCTTAATTTACATTGCTTTAAGATGTTCTTTAGAAATAGCAATTACCACTTAGTCCAAAAGAGTTTATGGTTATATGCAACAGGGTTTGGTAAATTTTTGGTTTCTAATTTTATTTTTTGTCTTTTCTAGAAAATTATTATAGTATAAAATAATACATTTTTTTTATTGACTTATTTTTAAACATACAAAAAGGTACTAAAAATAAATTCATTGTGGGGGAAGCTTCTTGGTCAGATGAAAATCTTTCCCACACACTCTCATACACATGGAACTTTAAGCCTCAAATCACACATAAAATATTTATATCAACTGATAGAAATTACATAAAAAACAAGATAAACAATGTACATCAAGTGTCATTGTAAGCAAAAGTAACTTTATAGAATGTTGAATTTATTAAGTCAATGAAATTTATAAAGACATTTCCAAAAACATTAAAAAAAACTAAAAGTAATGACCTTATTTGAAATATTTTCTTGAAAAATGACAATTTTTCAAATGTATATTCTAACAAGTTATTAAATACAAGTTCGTGCTCAGAAGAAAAATATTTCATGTATTTCATTAATCTGACATTTTTTTCTCTAAGACTTTTTTATTGTTGCATTCAGTTCTAACTCTAGTCCAAGCCCAGTGTCTAGTAATAATTGTAAGTATTATCATATCTCATCTTTTCTTCATGTTATTTTATCTGCATGAAAATAGCTGTTTAAGATATCTATATTAAGATATTAATATTTATATTAGAATGTATGTATAATGATGTTCTTATTCTTGCAAATATCCTCCCAGATATTATTCAAATATCGTCTCATCTAAACTTTAAGATTTTGAAAAATATGAGAAATGAAAATGAATTAAAAATATGCTAGCAGTAGATAGAATTTGTGCGCCTGAGTTCATGTTGAAGAGATTCAGTTAGACTTGTATTTTATTATAGTTTAATATTTATTACAATAAATTTACAGATATTACTGTATTCGCATATGATTGTGTTTGTAACATAGAAAAATGTATGTGCATATAAATTATAATGGTATGTGATATAATAAACAAATATAATCCTTTTGCATTTAATGTTTATTATAGCACAGCACTCTAGTAGCACATCTTTGTCTGCCTCAAGCCAACAGTCAGGACCACCTAGTCAGAAGACCCCCACCCCTACACCTACACCACCACCAGCTCCAACACCTACTCCACCCCTTAACACTATCCGTCGTCCAAGTACTACAAGTGAAGCTGTTACTGTACAGTCACAGAACCCTTTACAACAAAGTGCCAATCAAATGGCATTTCTAACAAGTAAGTATTTCTTGGTGCATATACATCTATATTGTAATCATCAGCAACGAGATAACTATAAATAAATTGATGTATATTCTAAATCATTGGTTATAAGCAATCCATAACTGCTTAAAGTCCTTGCTTTGGATTATGTAGTAAAGACACTTGTTATTATTAACTAGTGCTAAATAAATGCAAAACAATCAAGTTTTCTTTGTTATAATATAAATTCACATTATTGTTCTACAGTAGAAAAACTCATCAAATATGCAATGGGAAAAGTCACATGAATTTTTCAGAATGTCTCATTTTTAATAATTTCCTAAATTTCTTTTTGATTTTATAATGCAAATTTTTTTGACTTAGTGATGTTAAAAAAAAAATTATTCATCTGAAAAGATTTAGTCCCTTGAGCAAAGTGATTTGTACTATAACTTTTCAATTTGGAATAAATATTGATCAAGTTTAAACACTTAGAATTTGAAATTCCTATATCTTCTGTAGTCTGTTCATTTATGCACTCACAAAATCTGATACCATTGTAGCCTATTAGTACAAAGATGATGATAATTTGTGTTTAATTTCTACTTCAGGTAGTGACAGTGCTGCCACTTCCGCTGCCCTCAGCCAAGCTGCTGCAGCAGCTGGCCTAACATCAGGCATCAATATTGCCAACCTGGCCAGCTTGCCACCCAATCTCAATATCCAAAACCTTCCTGCTACTGGACTCAATATTGCCAACCTCCCAGCCATTTCAAATATGCAAGTTTCATTGACTGGTGGAATTGTCCCGATTACTATGATCAACAACAACACAGGGCTCCTACAAAATCAGGTAAAAACAATGGTTGCAACTCAGAGAGAGAAAAAATATATGTGCAAGAATTACACACACACACACACAGTGTTGTATTATTATTATTTGGCTTTAAAGTTATTTTTTTAATAAAAAAAGTAAGAAAGAAATTCAACAGATTTATTTCACCTTTTTAAGAATTCATTGGGTTCACTTTAGTCCAATGAAGTCTTAAAGGACAAAATTCATCATACAAAAAAATGTTTTTCCCATTTTGTGATAGATTTTCCTAAAATACTTCTATAGTCTGGCTCCATGTATATTTCTATTAATGCAATGATTTATTATCCATAACTCCAGAAGTTTTGCTTCTCCTATTCCCCCACACCCACTTCTACATAATTATCTGATTTTTTTTCTATGCTATCTAATGCAAAATTAATTTTTCTTTTCTTGTAATATGTTAGAAAATTGGTAAATACAACTTGTGTTACTGCTGTCCTTTTTGCACATTAATTAGAATATTGAGGGAGTTACATGTTGTATCCAACCTCTCAATAGTCTTTCCTACATTTTATAGAACAGATTTTTAACATCTGTCAATTCCTTTAGATAAACCCATCCCATTTTCTTTCTTGCTTTTAAATTATTAATGCTTTCCTTAATTAACATAATGTTAGTATGAGGAAGGATATCTAGTTCTAAGAATTTGTTGCCCAAAACTTGAAATGTTTCATTCAAAAATCATTCAATCTGGGAGTTTTTTTTTTGGGGGGGTTAATTATTTTGAAGTCACACTTAAATTCTTTCCAACATAGAACTAAAAAAAAAAATGAATCTTTTTAATGTTTGCTTTTCACTGTTGAATTGCAAGGATAAAAAGTTAGAATTCATTATAAAGCAATCAAAGAAAAAGAAAACATCTGAGAAATACCTGTGAAAGTTATTGTTACATGTCCTTTTTGTTGTTGTTTACACTTAATTTTAATGACCCAAGTCCTTCCAACTTGCTTGAATCACTCTTGGAGAAAAAAAAAAAAACCTTCACATGCACAATATGCTAAAACAAATATAAAATTAACTGAATCACCCTATATCTAATTTCCATTGATTGGATTTTTCTGCAATGTACTTTTCTAAAAGGATTACTTAGCATTGCATTGTTACTGCAGAGAAAATATTGTTGGGTGACCAAACTTTGCTTGGTCACGTAAAAAAAAAATTGCTTGATTTTGAACTAAAGCAGCAAAAGAAAGTAATGCTTTTATACACATTATTATAAATTAGATTGGTTATGAAGCTTTCAAAACTTTGAGTCTTCAGTCTTTTACTCTGTATTCCACACTGAGAAAAGTAATACAGATAGAAAATATCTACAGAAACATATCCAATAACTTAAATGTTCTCATAATACTAGTATCGTCAGTGATCTCTTCCATTTTTAGTATCCTTCCTGAGACTTAAAATGAAAGCTGTGTTTTTTTTTTTTTTTAACTCATCATCATATACTTCAATATTTTTTTTTATTAACCTTACCAATGTCAGATTCATCTAAGCTTCATAAATAAACAAAAAGCTAAAATTAAACAATCAAAACATTTAAATTTTAAAATCAAACAGTAACAAGTCACAATTTTCTGATTTGTGCCCAGTAACACATTTTGATAGTAAATATTTGTTTTAATTACTTTAGTTATTATCAGTCAAAAGTTATTGAAAAAAGAAATCAGTATGTAAAGGATTATTTCTACAGAAATGCTGTCTGGTGCATTTCCTGGACTTTATTCTGTTACGGCCAATTACCACAGCACAAAGTTTAAAAAAAGATTAAAAACATAACTAGTTGTCTAAATGTTACCCAGGTTTACCAATCCATAGTGGAAGGATTCAGTGCAGGGTCAAATACATGATTTTGGAACAATAACCACTGACAAATGCCAGTATGCAAATTAACAAGATTTAATTATAACTAGACATTACATAAAAACATTTAGATATTAGAATGCATGGAAAGATGCCTGCATTATTTTATGAGGGCAAAACTTGAAACAAAAACTTAGCTTCAGTTTTTCTTCTGAAATAAAATGAAGTTTTCTCTTCCCTTCTCTCTCTCTCTCTTTCTCTTATGATTCTCTTTGTCTCTATTAATTTCAAATCAGTTTACTTAAGTAGCGATGTTCTTTGATCTATTCTTACTTCAATGTTGTGTAATTATCTGGTCATTTAGTTTCAGCACTGCAGAAATCGTACATTTGGTTATGAAAATACAATATTTGTATAAGTCATAGAGTTAACTGTGCAGAATTCATGTTTTGGATCCTTTGTCCAATTAAGTATATCACATATGCATTTCTTAGGTGGCAGTCACATTTGGCCATTCACCTATGCCCTTAATGTTAGCTGCATGGTCTTAAGTTAAATTGGAGTTTGTTTCTTGTCATGTAATCTCACTTGCTTGACTGTAACAAGTGAATGAGGAATTGTCTGTGTAAGACTCGTCTCTGTTTAATTCTGTGTTGATGTTTCATGTAAGTTGGGGTTGTCATTCCTTCTCTACAATTCAGAAAGTCAATTTACATCTGAATTTCATATACACTCCATTTCCTTTGAGATTCGTCATCTAGTTGAGTTCTCCCAATCTTTCCCGCTTGATTGTTATCTGGCCATGTGATTCATCATGTGTATGAGAATGTATTTTTAGCTTTGGCTTCCAGGTGTTGCTGTGTTTGTCAGTCTGACTTAATTGTCTTTGCATTCAGCAACTGGTATTACATACCAAAAGAGATGGGGAGAGTTCACATATTATAAGAGAGATGGGTCGTTAAGTGTAAGATTTTGTGCAGGTATGGGTGGTGAGTTGCGGAAAGCCATAACAATTCTTTCACACATTCTATGTTTTATATTTGTCCATAGGAATAGGAAGAAGATAACAGTATTTTAAATTCATCAATCTTATTTCTAAGACATTTTTTATATCATTTTGACTTTAAAATTTATAAATTTTATGCTTATATAAGAATAATATTTACTTCTGCTTGCTTCTTTTGTGTTACAAATTTATATTGATTTTATCCATCAAGTATACTGAGATATAAAACATTTATTAATAAAAGTAGATATACATAACACCTTCTGATCAGGTTACACTAGTCTTCCATCTACTCATAAAATAGCAGGTAATGTCACTTCTGTTTTTGTGTGACGGGGTAGTTTTTTTAATCCTTTTTGATTTACTTTTTACTTTCTCCTGTCTTCATTCATTCATTTATATGGGAGTTGATTGGAGGCAGACAGTAGTGGTATAGCAGCAGAGATTCAATCATCTGCCAATAACTCATAATTTCAAATTTTGCATTGTTGCAAATAGTGGTTGAGTAACTGTTTGACAAAATAGTATCTTACATAAAGATTCATATAAAACAGAAGTGTCATTGAATTCCTTTATGTGGAAATAATTGCACCCATTCAGATTTAGTGACATTTGGTGAACATTTGCAAAGCCCAAACAATGTATGCGAAAACAGTTATGCAATGAGTTATGTTTCAGCAGTGGTAATATCTGCATGTGTTTGTCACCACTTTCTGGGTAGCAAGACAGTGTTCAAACCACAAAATGACTTAATAACCATGTGCAAAACTGAATATCATTTGCAATGCACTGGAAACAGTCTGGGTAATGTTTTATCTCACAATTTGTGCAATAAACTTGTGGATATTTGCATAAGAAAAAAATATGGAGTGCCAGTCAGTTAGGACCTGCATCTTATGCTAGGATAAAAATGACAGTCCACAGTGACAACATGGAAATTCCTGATCAAAGAAAATGTTAAAGATTCAGCTATCAGTGGGCAAAGTGATATACACTGTTTTAGGGCTAAGAAAGGCATGATCCTCTTGGATTTCTTGAAACTTGGATAAACCATCAACTCTGACTGTTACATTGCAAAGCTGAAGGGCCAAATTTTCAAATTTAGGTTAAAGATAAAGATTACTTTTCACTCACAACATAATGCCAAGCTCCACATCAGTTTGTTTCCCTTTGTTTGAACTAATGAAAGATTGATTATGTGAACAACATTTTCCTGACAACAATGCACTCATCACTATGAAAAAGTGGTTCATCTCTACTGGTGCAAATTTTTATGAGTATATAGCAATACAAACACTGTAAATACATAGTGAATTGTTGCGGGGAAAATAATGTAGTTTTGTAGTTTAAAACTTGCTCTATCCAGTGGTGTTATTGTGCTGCCTTGTGCATCAACTGTTGTTTTAGATCACTCACATACAGTGACATCTTCCCTAGACTTTGTTTCTTTCCTTTTCCTCCCATGCATAACTTGTAGCAACAAATTTCACTTTTTCCAATTTTCCAGTCTGCTTCATCATTGTCACAACCAGCACTTGTAACTATGGTTACCTCCCTTCCTCAGACAACTTCCACTCCAACCACTGTCAACAGCAATCCAGTCACAACACAAGTTGCCATGACATCAGGTAAGTCATCCATTGGCTTCTATTGCCCGCATGCTTTTTGCTTTTCCACCCACTATTTGCTGGTATATTAACCTGGACCTATTTGAATCTCTCCAAACCAATGTTTTCTCAATGTTTATTTTTTCCCTAAACACAATCTTATGTGCAATAGAATCACATCTTCACAACTCGAATTCAAAATAAGCTGTATGTAGATTCCACAATATAATCAATTGCTCACAAGTTCAAATCAAAAGTCAAGTCCCCAATGAAAAAGGTTTGCTGTCTAAAGATTAAATCACTGGATAATATTTTTTGTATTGATGCACTAATTTTTCTAAGAGTATAAATCCAGTAGCAAAATGTAATTTGTTTTTTGTTTTTTTCTCTTTGATGTTAGTGTCTCTGTGAAAGTAGTTAAGTGAAAATAAAAACAAGTTAATAAGAGATTTGGAATAAACTAGTTTATTTCTTGATAATAAATTGCTTAGCATGTAAACATTGGATAGGGGTCCTCTGTGTTTGTAATAATAAACCTTAATGCTGTGGAAAGTAAGACTTATGAATCTGTTTAGGAAAAGTTAAATGAACTCTAAATAAAGGCTATATTAGGTGAGAGGTATTTTCAGAAATTAAGTTTATTTTTAGTTAGATCAACAATGCCCAAAAGGAGTCTTTCTTATTATGGTTTACTTTTTAGAACAATTATTACTTCCCAGTTATTATTTGTAATCACAAAGCTTAAATGTGACATTATCAGTAATTTACCCCTTCCTTTTCCTTGGTTTGAAAGCATGTGGACAAAGATGGCACATAAAAGGGGTTTAACTTTATTCATTTTCAACTTATTTAATTGAGACAATGTGGAATGAAGTTAAAATGTTGGTCAGTTGACTTAAAAAAAAAAATACATACCTTGTTCATTTTATTAGTTACAAAAATGTTCTGGAGTGTAAAGATTTTAAATTTCAGTCAAGTGACCTAGTTCAAAAGGTAAAAGGTTATACAACATTCCAAAAGCTCATGGAAGGAATTTTAATCATTCTTTTCATGATTTATTGTTAGAGACCATGTACAAAATTGAATGCTTAAAGATAAAAGATCAACAACCCAAGTTGTTAATGACTGTTTCACCAAATTATTGTCCATTTTAATTTTTTTTTCACACTTCTAAAGTATATACTATATACTTGAAAAATTTCACATTAATCTGAATGATTTCATAGATGAAAAATATTTTCTGGAAATTCATTTTAGATTTATAAAATTATTTTGTAGTATGTAAGTAATTTGATATTATCTCCATAAATCTTCTCTCCACTTTGCAAAAAAAAAAAAAAAATTGTTGTTTATATTAAAGTCTGTGAAAAGTATTTCCAAAAGTCATCTTTTAAGTGATATGTTCCCAGTTTGTTTTCTTGTGTGTGACGTAAATTTTGTTGTTGTAGGAATGTTTACCAATTCTGGCTCCATGCTCCCCATCCCCATCGATTTGAGTCAGTTGATGCCTGCTGGACTGAAAGGGGCTGCACAAAACCTGAGACCCCCATCTATGCCTGTAATGCAGGTAAGTCAATTCTTTTAATTATGGTTTTCCTATCTTCCTGTCAAACAGTTTTTGCACAATCAGTGTTCACAGACCTAACTAACTGCTTTTTATGAATTCAATAAGTTATGTCCTTCTGGTTGCAAAAATAGAATTGCATTCCCAAAAAGTTAATTAGAATACTTCACCTTACATTTTTTTTTGCATGTTTTTCACCTGGATAAGAAATACTGCAATATTTATCAACTGTTATTTACATCTGTCAGTATCCATCAAGTAATCTATCAGTATTCAGCATAAATAATGAATGTTTCTTCACTAATTATAAGGGACACAACAGTCCATGGTATAAGGAACACTACTATGCAATATTTTTCTATTCTTTTTAAATAATTACTAATCAACTGAGATACTAACTGAGAGTTATGCTATCAGCAATAACTTTTTTTCTATTCTACATGTATCACTTATCATTACATATATTTAAAAAAAAAAAAAAGCTCATTGTTTTTTTTTTTTTTTTTTTTTTTTTTTCAACTTTTTGCTTTAAAAATGTTTTTCAATGAAGGTAAATAATTTTCTATTAAGAAAATTAAGCGTGAACATTAACATTTTTTTAAGCTCCAGAACCAGCAACCAATCCAATTGCTGAATCTGTCACAACAGAGAGGCACTTTACCTGCCCTCCAAGTAACTCAAGCGCAAACAACTTCAGCCACCACACAGAACAGCCGCAATACCCCAACCACCCCAACTGGTATTTCTGTTAATTCCACAGGTAACTGAGGTTTCACCTTTTCTTTCTTCAATTCGAATTTAGAGTAATGATAGAACTCCTTAGATCCTTTTTGAAGATTGGTTGTGCTCCCACTTGTCTTTCTTGTATGTCAGCTGCAAACAAAACCCTGAAAATCCTGAATTGTAATGATGTTGCAATTTCAAGTAAGGATCAGAATAGTTAAACAAATTAGTCTCAAATGAAGCTAAGCTAATTATCAACTAGAAAATAAAAGAATACCTAACATGTGCTTAATATAGCTATTTCTTGGCATAGTCTAACAAATACATTTCAAAACGTTACATTTCTAGTACAAGTGGCAAATATTAAGCTCTCAATGACATTGTTTTTATCAATAAGCTAGCCACTGTTATGGTTCGAGGTTTTTACTGTTACTTTTAGAGTTTATTGCAATGCAGGCAGGTTACTCTGCTAACTTACAGTTGTCTCATGAATGACTAACTTTTTCTCTCTCTTAGTGCATGTAGCTGCAACAAATAAATAGTAACATAATATGAAGAAACAAAATTGTTTTAAGCACCACTGTAACACATCTAAAATACATTTAGATACTTAAAAATATAGTATTATTCGCTTCTGGTTGTTTTCTGGATTTCACATTTTATTTTTTTATTTTTTAGCCTAATGGTTTGGCGTCTTTGAGTGAATGTAGCATCCATTTATTAGAAGTAATTTTGTATTTTTTCTTTCTGTTCTTGTATATCTCTTGACCTCTGACACCCAATCTAACTAGCCAACCATTACAGCCTTTTCACAGGTGCCCATCCAAACAGGCAAGTCCAGCCAACTGCAAGGAAGTAGCAGTGGAGCTGCATCCAGCAGTGGGAGTTCAAGCAGTTCTCAGCAGTCCACAGGATCTCAACTGCAATTCCATCAGCTCCAATACAAACATCCACAGTCCAGCTCATCTTCACAGCAATCAAGCTCAGGGTCCAGTAAATCAAAGAGCAAAAAGAGGGCTACGCCCACACCACCAAAATCCTAACATTCCCTTTCCTACCCATGGCTCAGTCTTTACCCCCTCTACTCCATGTAATCTTGCTCTCATTCAGGTTTTCATTTTTAACTCCTATTCATTCACATCAACTTACATCCAGATTAAGAAGATGCTGCTTCCATGGCTCATATGGTAAAAACACTTCTTAAATTAATCATGTTTTATATAGAATGTGGCTAATGCAAGTCCAGTCCAATATGTGGGCATCTAGACTTTGAACAAGAGTTTCCCACCTCATGCCCATTACAATAATGCATTTGTTTCCTTATAAATTCTACACCTAAATATATACATTTACCATGATTTCATTCATTACAACACATTCTGAACAATTTTCTGTTGTTGCAAAACAATCTTAATAATTATTTCATAGTGTTCATAGAAGCAAATTAATATTTTTTACACAAGCAATTGCAGCAGTGAAATCAGTCTCTGTTTATCATGAGGCTGCTTTTATATGGATGACATTATATCAGCCCCAAAATGTTCATAATTGAAAGTTAGAGAGGATTATCATTGCTATTTTGTCAGCTGCTTTTTGAGGGGCTTCCATAGAAAAATATTTTTGCTGCTGCTAAAAAATATACAACATTTTTTTAAAATTTCATATAGTTTACTTTGTGAAGAAAATGTTCTTACTGCGTACTTATTTAAGTGAAGTGTTCAAATTTTTAATTAGTAATGTATGATTGTCTCCAGGTGATGTGTTTACAATTTCATGTCAGACACTGAGAATGCTAATTGGTTCCTGTGTTATGTTTCTGCGTCAGGTTATTTTGACTGTTATTTTGACTGTTGTTCTATTTTGTTTCTTTTGTTAAAGTGTGAAATGTGAGTGATTGAAGTGCTACAGAAAAAGTGTACAGTTTGGACATTTCTTTTTTTTTTTTTTTTTTCCTCACAAAATATCCAACAGACTGCCATCTATGCCTACAAAAAATTCTATTTCCTTGACTAAATTACCCACATATTTATTTCACCACATACATACATATATACATACAAGAGAAAAATATTTTACCTATCTTGTTTTCCAACCTCTTGGAGACACTTGGGTACCATCATGTGAGATGACTTGGATCACTTTATATTATCTTTACTAGAACTTTTCTTTTTATTCAGTACACTAGTTTTAAGTTAACTGCTACTAATTAGAATATGCATTTAAACTTAATGAATATCGAGGACTACTAACTGAAATGTTTTAAATTTAAAGTTGAACAATCTGAAGCATATTTAATATACTGCAGATCTAAGCCACTATTATGAACTACTCAAATTTAAAAAAAATACAAACTCATTTGACTCTACCTAGTAGCAAGAATGTGCACAAACGATTACATTATTTTTTAAGGTGCCTTTGTCATTTCAAGAAGGACATGGAATGACTTCTTTTTCATTATGAAGGTCATTGGGTTGAAGATATTTGAACCTCTAACTTACCTAGGCTCCTTTCAAGAAGCTGACTATCTTTCAATCATAGTGGCTGCTAGATAGTGCTATGAACATGACAAGCCTTTTGATTTGCTATGTTAATACTATTATTTACACAATTTAAATGTGGACTATTGTCCTCAGCTTTGTTGCTGTTATCCTAACATTTTGACTTTTTGTGCCCTCCAGTCTTCATTGGCTGAAACATAACAACAAAGATAAGTACAATAGTCCTCATGTAAATTGTATAAATAATAATAACTCCTCATCCTAGAAATTCAGAGAAATGAGAATGTTAATCTTTGGTGTATACTATGCAATTGTTACATTTCAAGAAAAGTTTTCATTATATACTACAAACGTAATTTAAATTTGCATTGGGATAAATATAAAAAATAAGTTCAGGATAAAATATTTTTTAGAAAAAATTGTTGTTCAGAATGTTCCCATTATTCGTCACCTTTTTATTTTTCTAAAAATGAACAAAAGTTTTTTTTTTTTTTAATTTTCTTTTAACTATTTTGTTCTTTTCTTGCTTGTTATAACATATTTATTATAGCATTTTTGTACACTACCTCATGGTCTATTATTCATTTTCATAGCAACCTTCAGTAAATCTAATATAAAATATGGATAATAGTCAATATTTTATAAAAGTAGATATATTGTTGGCATTGATTATATTTAGAGTGAAGGCATTATATTTAGCAACACAGCATCTGAAACTTGTGCAAATAAGCAAAAACAATTGATTTCTTTATATAGAGAAACCTACTAGGATACTTGGGAAATGACTACAATCTCCTTTCAATTTCTCTACAATTTTATATATTCTTTTCTGTGTATGCAGATTAAGATCTTTTTTTTGTTTTTTTCTTTCACTAAAATTAAACACTGTGTCAAGTGATATATAAATACTATATAATTATAATTATACCATTAACTTTGTACTGAAAGTGGCTGACCAAACACAAAAAAACAAACATTACCTGGCATCTTTTATAAGAAATATTTTTATTTATGAGGGGTAATATATTTTCCTGTTAGATTAATTTTGATTTTTGGAAGTGGTATGTCCAGATCTGGAGGATTTGATTCATGTTGTCCTTTACATCCATGATGATAGGCTTCAATTGTTTGGTCTCCTTCTTGAGGACACACCCTGACATAGTAGTCTAGAGATTTCAAATCAGGGAAATCAAGGAAGCTATATATTGGCAATACTATGATTGTGAAAATACTTAGCTTGCCTTGGTCACATAGGCATAGTCCAGCTAGGACAGGTATGGTCATTTTATTAATTTTAATGTCTAGTACATAAGTGTTGGTAATGACACTGACCCTGAGACCTTGAAGGAAGAAGTGGAGTCTCCACAGATGATGTGAAGTGTACTTTGTATGTATTGTCATGTGCTCAGTGTAGAGCAACCTAAAACTTATCTACTCACTGGGCTTCTTTTAAGAAACTGGATATCTTTGAATCATGATGATTGGAAGCTAGTTCCATGAACATGGCAAGCCTTTTTATTTTCCATGTCAAATTGGAAATTGCTTTGTTAATATTCTCAATACATCTAAAAGAGAAGTGAAAATGTTAAAATTTGATCTGTACTATGCAATGTTAAGCCATCTTCCATTTATGGTCTGCTAAAGATGTTTTCTCAAATACCTGATATATTGGGAGTAATCTCACAGTGAGTTCCCAAATATTTAAAATGGCTACATGTCCTTTTAGAAGTTATCAAAGTAACATCAAGAGATTTTAAATATTAGAAGCTAACTAAAGGCTATCTCTTGTCATAAAAGTTCAATTTTTTTATATTTTATCATTTAATGAAAAGTTTTTTTATGGTTGTATGAATACTTGAGGTTGTAATGAAACTCGAGTATTCATGCAACCATAAAAAAGGAACCTTACAGAAAGTATTAATTACCTCCACAAAATTATCTTCTTTTAATGTTACATAGTGATTTTTTTAAATTTCTTCCTGCTTTCTCAAGTTTTCTTGAGCACCGTATAAAATAATTGCTTAGTAATGTACAAATTTAGAGGAGTAATTTGATATTTAATTCCCAATTTTTAGAGTAAACCTTGTCATACATAACTTGCCTTTTATAGTGATTATTTTTTAATAGCAATGGGTTAAGATCTTTTTTATTGTACTCACTTTGGCAAGTGTATAATTGCTTTTGTAAATCCTTCAATATTCAGTGTTGAAAATAACACTGTGCTGTTTCAAAAATGTTTTTTTCAACCTCTTGGAGATACTTGGCTACCATCATGTGAAATGACTTGGATCAGTTCATATTATCTTTTCTAGAACCTTTTCTTTTTATTCAATACACTTTCTAGTTTTAAGTTAACTGCTACTAATTAGAATATGCATTTACACAATGAATATTGGGGACTACTAACTGAAATGTTTTTAATTTAAAACAGTATCTGATTCACTAGCAATTTGGTATTTTCTCTGCTCTGCTGTTTCTTAGCATTTATTTTCTTCGTGTTTATATTGTAATCATTCCTTGCCAGACAGGAGGTAAATTTGTGTTGATATATGCTTACATAAGGATTTGTACTTGTTGAAATTTTCAATATTTTTCATACACATTATTAAAAAATAACTTTTTAATTAGTTCCAGTGTTCCTAAAATAAAATTTTCTAAGTGATTTTAATCTGGATATTTTGCTATTGATATACTTGGTTTAAAATAGATTTGTTAAAATGTAAAGGAAACCTACATATAACTTTAAAAAATATTCTTTTCTGTGATCAATATATTTTGCTGGTGATACTGACTCCTTGTTTAGAAGATTACTGTAAATTCTAAAGTCCTCAGTGCTATTATTTAAGGCTAGCAGAGAAATAGGAACATAAAAAGGGGCCAAAATAAACCCTTGACTTTCTCTTGATGTATACTCATTGCTGGGAAAAATCTAATATTTCAGCTTTGTATGTATGTATGTTAGTTTATATTATCTGTTTCTATCTTAGCTTCCAGATCTCTTTGGTTTTACATTATTGCATTTGAAGATAAATATTACAAGATTCATTAATTTGTATGAATGCATCCATTTTTATGAAAACCTTTTCCAGAATTTATTTTTGACAAATATGAATTCATTTCTTTCCTAAATTTCTTTACTTTCTACACCTGTTGTCATATGTCCTTGAAAAAACTTGAACAGTTTTGTTTTTCAGTTTATAATATAATTTGCTCAATTTGTTTTTATTTATATATTAATTAAAAAATCTAAATAAGAGACATTTGTTGTATGGTTCTTGAGGGACAGACTCTTAAAAATAAACTGGTGCTGCTATTATTTTTAAAGCAGACTACAAACATTTTCTATTTATCTCATTCATGGCAAAAGTAGATATATGATCAGAGTCTGGTTGGGAGGCTGAAATTCTATCTTTTATGTCAGTTGCCCATTCAGCTGTGTTTCTCTGCTTAGTAAATTCCAGATAGATTGCTTGAAGAATATTTTTGACATTCAGAAGTGCATCTGAATTAATATCTTCATCATAATTTTTTCTCATTGTATTTTT